CAATTCTAAACTCCCCTCTACCATTTTAGCCCGAGACATTTTTCTATCGATTTTCACTCAGTCATCTTTTCCAAATGAATTTCTGAGTGAAAAGAGGATCGGAAACAACAACAACAACAGCAATCTCTTCATTCCATGGCCTCCGGAAAAACTCGAAAGTTCTTCCGCCAGATCCCCTCCAAATCCATCAGCAAAAAACGTTCCACATCATTTGTCGAATGCCCATTTCTGCAAAATTCGAATTTTTGAAATTTTTAGTACACTATTGTCGAAAACAGGAAGAGATCATGACATAACACACGGGTATCAACTTTCCCTCTTCAATAAATTCCCTCTTTCTTACATCATGAAGATATTCCCTTTCCCCCCTCATCCTTCTCCAAGAAAAATCAAAAACATAAACATGGAAAGTAAACAAAATGTCTTCCTCTTTTCAGAAGAAATTTGAAAAAGCTTAAAGGCCCGTCTTTTCACCAGAGGATTGATTTCGCTGACGACGTTGACCCTTAGGGAAAAGAATATGAAACCATGTAAAGGCCTGCTTGATCTAAGTTGATCCGCTCCTAGCTCTAACTTTCTCTCAATATTTTTTTCCCTTCTCAGAATCTTTTGTTTTTTTTAAAGGTTTTCTTCAGACTTCTTGTCGAATGTCTATATATTTATGGGATTTTAAGAGTGAAGTGCCCGGAGTGATAAACCTCCTGGCTAGTTTTGTGCTGGAAGATAATTTTTATTTGCTGATTGTGTTTTTCTTTGAGAAAGATATCTTTCGTTTCCGGATTATCGCAAATGTAGTGACTTAGGTTATCAAGTTTGATTTCGATTTTATATATATCACATCATCGATATCGTTTCTGAATCTTTTCGGGGATTTAGATATCAACTCCTGTAGCAAATCAATATGATTGAGCCTGCACCTTCTTTTGTAGTATTGTTTATTTTTATTCTGTTTGATTTGTTTTAATTAAAAACACACTAAAAAGTTACGTACAGTGAAAATAGTTTAACACGAAACTGCAGAGACTGAAATATTTTTTCGTGTTAAAGGATATTGCAAAAATACAACAACCCATGTTCAACAAAATTATGTTTATTATAGTACATTTTATTTACATAGACATGTATATATGCATGGATTTAAAATTCAATGAAATACAAACATTCACAAGAACTTAATAAAAAATTTAATAAAAAAAATTCAAGTTTTTTGGAAAACAAAATATTTATTGAGTTTTTGAAAAATAATCTTATATTTTTCTTTGCACTTTTTAAGCATCGAATTTTCAACAAATTGTTCGATGTCATCCATTTTGTGATTCATTTCATCATTAGAACGTGAGTCTAAATAATTGCGGATGCATTTCATGATGCTCCTCATTTCGGATGACGTGTGAACAACATTATTCATTTCATTTTCGCCAACGAAATCTGCACCAATGATATTTTTTGAGTTTTGAACAAACTCTCAAATGTCTCTGTCTGTCATAATTGGAGCTGTACACACATTATCATCATCTACTGCAACGAATTCTTCCGATGATAAAGTAGGACAGTCTAATAATACAGAAATTTTATCAAACATTTCATTAAGTATTGGCTCAATCTTAATATTTTCTCCTCCATCTTTTCGTTTTGAGCGAAAAAAATGCATGAAAATACATAGTAGTTGGTCCGGTCCGTTGTATTACTTCGTGCTAACCGATATTTCGTCTTAAGAATCTTCGCGTTTAACGTATTTCGCTGTATGTATTTCATTTTAAACCTTTTTACGACTAGGGGAACATTTCCCCTTTATTTTAAAATTAGTGATTGTCGTATCTAATTATATCTGCCGTATCGGATTTTTTTTTCAGTTTCTAATATTAGTTCTTTTTCTCCATATATATACAGTAAGACCCCGCTTAACGCTGTTTCGTTTAGCGCTGTTTCGGTTTAACGCTCTTTTATTTGAATTGTGGGATTCCCCGAAATAGCACGCAGCTTCCCGATATCCGAAGCAGTTTATCTGTGTTTCTTCTTTCCAGCGGTATTATACGAAAGTATTTTTATCGTTTCAAACATTTGTTGAAGTTATTGTAAGTTTAAATTAATATAATATAACGATTGCTATAGTGACAAATGTTATGATTTTTAGTTTTTATCATGGGTGATAATAAAAAACAAGAAAATAAAGCATAAAAAAGCATTTTACTAGTAACTAACAATGCAAGTGATTAGAAGATTAGATACTGGTGAACGTCAATCTCATATTGGTGCTGCATTGAATTTGGCAACTTCAACAATAAGGATCATTCTTAAGAATAAAGAAAAAAAGCTGTCATCGGTACCTGCAACTACGACAAGCTCTGCAACTAGAGTTACCCGTTCTAGAAATAATACAATAGAAGAAATGGAAAAACGACTTTCTATATGGATTGACGACGAAATTGAACGCAAAATGCCATTAAGCCAATCTACCTTCTTGATAAAATGGCAGAAAATTGGAAATACAGAAGAGGCTGAATGATCTGAAATGTAAATATACTGACTTAGAATTTTATTTATTTTTATATGCATATTCGTTTATTATGTTTCTATATTTGTAAGAAATAAATTTTTGTTTTATTGTTATAAAACACATAATAAATTTAATGGTAAAATACCTGACCAATTTTTCTACCCAGGTTAAAAGATAACCTCGTTTAACGCTGTTTCATATTACGCTCTACTTTGATGGAACGTATACTCCGCATTAAGCGGGGTCTTACTGTATATTTATATATATATATATGTTAAAATTTTCAATCGTTAATATTATAATACTTTCTATTCATCCATTCAAGTTCAAATACATTTTTTAAAACTTGCAGTGGATGACACTTGGTGTTAATAGTTTTTCAAATATTTTAATTCATTAATTAAAATAAAAATTAAATAAATAATGACAAACAATAATAATAGTCCAACACCATATATAAAAAGGAAACTCGGTCGTTGTGTCCCTGTAGCGCAGTGGACAGCACGTTGGATTTCTAATTCGAAGGTCTTGGGTTCGAACCCCACCTGGGATGGCTATTATTTCTTAGAATGTGATTTCCTTTTTACTGTACTATTTTATTAGAATAATTAAATTCAATTAATGAATAAACAGTAACACACACACACACAAAAAATAGTCCAACACCCTATATTGGAAGGAAAATGGAAGATTGCAAGGAAAAATCGCTTTCTGTTTTGACCCTTAATGTTGTGATTCTGTCATATGCATATACATATTTATATTAATTGTAACTATTTAATAAAAATATAAACTAAAATAAAATTGTTCTTTGTTGACCTAAGTAGGAATTGATTTAAAACATTTTTTTATATTACTTGTTTATATATATAATGTCAAAATAGGTATACCGAACGCAATTACGTAAATAAGAACGTTTAGGAAGAAAAAAAGTTGACTTCAATGCTCAAATATTAGCGGGTTGTATTATTCTTCTCACTTATTTTAGTTTATTGTGCCGTGTAATAACATATTTCTGTGTTTTCCGACATGTTTTATGTGATTAGGTAAGTATAATTTTGTGTATATAAAATATATTTGACAGAATGCTTGATAAAATTGCGCATTGATTTTGCTTGAATTGACACATTGGAAAAAAAACAACAACACATTATTATAAATTTTTCTTATAATTATTTTAATATTACACTTGAACGAACTGAAATAAACATTCACTTACTAATATTTACTCTTAGAAACCTTACTGTTCTGGAAGAAAAAAGGTTATTAAAATTTTAATAGTTAATGATTTTAATTTCAATCGTAAGTAACAGTTCTCGTTACTATTTAACTTAGAATATAGTTAAAAATCACTAAGTTATACCGGGTTATCCAAAAAGCTCCATTAAACAGAGAACCAACAAATTTGAAACAAATAATTTTAATACTAATGGTGGAGAAAGTACTTTTAATATAACGCAGTGAAAAAAAACTGAATATACTTTTCTAATAAATGTTTAAAATATCCGTCTATTTCTTGGAGACAAAACTGATCACGTATATTGTAAGAAACGTGTTTCAAAATGCTACGGGTGACTTCTTGAATTCCTTGAGTAATGGCAGTTTCCAAATCATTTGTTATTCGGAGGTTATCTTCGTAATTTTTTTCCCTTAAATATTCACAAAGAACAAAGTCAGGGATGCTGAGGTAAGGTGAATGAAATGGTGAAAATTTTTTTTGAGAGGAGTCAATCCCCCTCTTATTAAAAAATTCTTGAAGTATGTCCAGTTTCCTGACTGGCATGTTGCATCGTCTTGTTGGAACCGAGCATCTCGGCCATTCATTCTTAATAATGCAACACATTCTTAGGAAAGCTCTGTATACAATGACATCAATAGTTTACCAAAAACAACTGGGGCCCATCAACTCATTTAATAGAGATACAGCACATTATCACCAGTTTTTTGAGCATGTAAAGGTTTTGCATTAATGAATGGCGATTTCTAGTCGGCCATTCTTAAGAGGCATTTGTATGCGACCGAAGATACTGGAATGGAAACGTATCTCATCGGAGAAAACTTTTCCGACCAAAATGTTGGCGAATAAATCTCTGGAAACAACGCCAATAAAAAGTCTCCTCTTATGTATGGTGGCTTAAGGTCTTGTAGTATTTTTATACGGGGTAAGCATGACAATGCTATAAAATTATGGTTTCGAACGTAGTCGTATACCTTAATAATGCATTATGAGTATAGATATTTATCACCAAACATTAATATAGCATTATGGAATCCAGAAATACTGTCTCTAAAAAGTTTTGTAATTTGTTCACTGTATTACAACAGTTTTATAAATTATTTATAAGAAGTAATAATAATAAAATAAAATGGTAATTATGGCTCATAATAAAACACAGAACAACAAAAACAATGTAAAATAAACTTTCCAAAAAAAATAAAATAAAAAAAATTGTACATTTTTTTTTAAATGTACAACACAAAAGTTGTATTTTTCATTTGCTCAACAATATCTTTTTTTTAGCTTTTCTCTTTTCATGTTAATCAGTTTAATTGCCAATATTTTATTCAAAATTTTCGTTTATAAAAATCCATTTTTATCCCTTTACACTCTCCAACCCCCCTTTTTTTTAAACCATCACCATCTCTCATCCATCCTCATCTCACACTTTTTCTCTCAAGAACTGTCAAATCCACTGTTTCCAATCCCGCTTCACACCCAGTAAAAATCCCTACACTTTCCCCACAAACCAATCCTGATGGCTGTTACACATAAAATCCCTTCGATCCCCTAAAATCTTAATGCAATTAGATCCACCGTGTTTTCCCCTCCTCAAAAAGTTTTTTTTCCCTACATCCAACTGAGATATCTTAAGCAAATCCTTAGATGGATTATAATTGAGACCACAGTTCCTTGCTCATCGATTCTGCGTTTTACAATGGCGCCCTAAAGATGATGTTTTAAGCAATAAAGGATTCGTTCCAGGCGATTTATGCCAGTTAATGCGGTTAAAAGGAGGCCCGGTTTATGTGATTATTTTCGCCGCCCCTTGTTTCTTGGGGCGCTTTTCGCAATTCCATTATTTCGTGATTTCATTATTTTTACGAGATGTGAAAAGCCATTTCAGTTTTACGCTTGATGAATCCCGCGTTTGTGTTGCGTTATCTTCTTCGAATTTGGTTGTCTGCGTCGAATGTGCGTGTGTTCTGTTGCTGTTGTTTGCTGCTTCTCCGAGAGGGTCGTAAAACTGGTGAGTGCAGATTTTTACCCCCTTGAAGAAAAGAGTAAATGGTGGCCTAAATAATGATTTTTAGAGTACTTATCATCGTTGTTATTTGCTTAAGATGGTGTTTATCTAGTTCTTAATGGGGGGAGACTCGTAAGCAAATACAGAAAAGTGCCTTAATTGCAAATTTAAATGTATAACTTAATATGTACTAGCGAATTATAAAAAGTTAAATCTATTTTAAATTGTAATAAAGTTAATGTTAGTTAAGGTATCCGACTACGTTCGAAACAGTGATTTTAAAAAAAGCACATAAATGGATAATTTCCATGATATTTAGTGTCATTTAGATTAAAATACATGTATAAAATTGTTTTTAGGACATTTTGATAAAAAAAATTTATTTAAATACAATATTTCGGCAAAAAATTAACTTAGAATAACCTTTTTTCAAAATGTTCTTTAGTGAAAAATGCTTCTATTATAATAATATTTTGTCTGTATATAGCTCAGACCTCTGTACAGAGGCTCAACTATAATTTTTGAAAAATTCACCTTATTTTTAGAGTTACAACTCATTGAAATAATTATCGGTGTTTTTTTCTAAACATTTCTCCCCTCTGTTGTCTTAAAACATGGATAAACCCGCTTCTAAGTTATATATTTCAAAAATTGTAATTGAGCCTCTGTACAGAGGTCTGAGTTATATACAGGCAAAATATTATTATAATAGAAGCATTTTTCACAAAAGGAGACTATTTTGAAAATGGGTCATTCTATTATTCTTTGTCAAAATATAGTACTTAAATAATTTTTTATTGTTATACTATTCTTAAAACAATTTTATATACATTTTCTAATCTAAGTGACGCTTAATATCATAAATATTATCCATTTATATGCTTTTGCAAAATCACGGTTCCGAACGTTGTCGGATACCTTAAGGTGACTGTGTTTGGAGTCGTAATTTTGAAAAGTACATAAATTGATAATTTTGTTAATATTTAGGGCCAATTGAATTCGAATATAAATATAAAATTGTTTTTTATGCATGTTATAATAAAAAAAAAATTAAAATAAATTTTTGGCAAAAAGAAATGAAAAAAAATTACATATTTCCAAAACATTCCCCTTTGATTAAAAATGCTTCAATCATAAAAAATATTTTGCGTATATATATATAGCTAGAACTTCTATACTGGGGTTAAACTAAAAGTTTTGAAATATGTAATTTATATATGGATTTATTCATATCTTATTACTTTAGAATAGAGAAATTTTAACAAAAAGTGGTTGAGAATCACTGTTATAATATAACCGATAGATATAAAAAATTATTCATTTATACGCTTTTTTCAAACTAGAGCTTCCGAAAATAGTCAGGCATCTAAATATATTGTTAAAAGTTAATAATTTCTGACCATTTGCATAAAAGAAATTTCACTGTCTGATCTCTTGGCACGCACGCACAAATTTTGAGTTTTTTTTTAATAGCATTTAATAAAGAAGTATACCATTAATAAAATACAATATTTAAATTCTGCTTAAAAATTTTAAATAATTTCATATTTAGCAGATTTTTTAGTTCAATTGTTTTCGTTTTAATATTTCTGTTATGTTGATCGAGGTTCGGATAGAGGAGGATTTTATGATATCAGTCTCAAAGAGCAACAGAGTTCTTCAGGAGCAATGAAAATTTATTATAGAAAACAATCCTTGAAATACAGGATACACAGCAAAATTCGCAGAATAAATCCCAGAAGGTCTTCACACATTCTACAGAGCTCACACACAATTGTCAGTGTGTAAACCACAAGTATGTTGAAGATAATCCACAATCACTCTCATTCGTTTTATACAGCAGCCGAAGTAATAACTAATCGCTAGTCGACTCGTCACCGGCAAAACAAAAGTAATTCCGTTTTGGCGAGTGACTCCCTATTTATATTCCGCATGGAGTTTTCTCAAAAAATCCGCTTACGTCATAGATTGTGATATAAGTAGCTTCCTTCGGTAATTTCCAGAAGCGTCTAAATGGTCTCCAACTGATAAAAATAGTCACCATAAATGATGCCCACTTGGCTCTATTGCCAACATTTCGCCCAGTTATCATTGAATTGCCATTATAATGTAAGGAACGGCATTGTTTGCGAATATTACAGTTTTAGCATAAAATAAATGCTACAGAAAGCATTATTAACGTATTACACATCCAGATATGATATATTTACACTATTTTAAGCATTCATTACACAAAATTCGTAACTTTACTTTTAGTCTCCCCCAATGTTGAGTCACGGGTTTGAGCTCTAGTTCCTCTAAAGATTCG